ACAGTCGAGCTATCTATACGTAATTACTTCGTTCATCAGGCAGTTACATCAGGGTCTTGTTGTTGAACAAATATTTACTCAGCAAGTATGGTTTCAAATACCCAATCTTCTTAACCATGTGTCACATGAAAGCGTGTTCTTTGTTAATCTACATCATGGTTGCATGAATAAAGATGGTCCTCAGGCAAACCAGTCGATCCAGGGTTCAATTCCTCAAAATCTCGACTTTGAATTTTGTATTTTGTGTGTCGGTGATGATTGAAAATATTTCTTTGAGATTCCTGGCAGTTAGTTTCAACCATAATATTGAGGTTACGAAGCTGTTTTTCACATCAGTTGTTGTTTGCTTGATGACATTGAATAAAGAGGCTCAGATTACATTACCCTTACTCCCATTGTTATTGGTGTTATCATTGCCAGCCAGGGTGAACGGAGTTTTCATATATTTTGGTTTTATCATGGGCGTTTCATCCCCAGCGAAAAGAATTTCATGGATATCGTTCTATACATGGCTCCTATAGCTGATGTGTTTTCATTTCTTACAACACTCATTATGGAAGAAAACATGATCGGTATTACACTTTCCCTTGCCCAAGATGATATCAAGATCAGTTGGTATCTCTTATTCAATTCGACACTAGCATATCTTGTGAATTGGACCAATTTTTTGGTCATGCCAGCATTCCATTTGTATTCCCATTGAGTTTTGTTTTCAAGAGGTCTTGTGACATCATACAAAAGCTTTGAACACTGTGCAAAGAGCTTCACTGACCAGAAATCTGTGCAGAAGTCACAAGAAATGATGAATGTTTGTCAAATACTTTACAAACATCTTAGCAGAAACCACATGAGATGATGAATGTGTTGTCAAATGTTTTACGAACCGGTTATTCTGGTACTGAACCAATGTTGCAATCATATGGTATTTCCATTTATGGATCCAAGATGAGGTTTGTCTTCTTCAACCTCAAGGTCAGAAGTGAGACATGATGAATATTTCTTTCCATTGAAGGGAAACAGAAATTTTAACAACAAGAAACTAGTAGAGCCAACTAATGTTAAACGACAGGATGTTGTTAAACATCTCAACATGATATGGTCCAAGTTGCCTTATTCGAGATCTGATTAGATGTGAAGACATGAAAGGAATTAGGATAAATCCTCCTTGTGATGTGTTTCAAGAGTCAAATCAGAACAGACTCTACTCTCCTAATTAATCTCTGCAGAGTTTGACATATCTACATCTATACTCTTCAAAGATGATAGATTTTCTTTTCAAAGATGAAAGCTTTATTGAATTTCTGCACAAGTCCAAGCAGAGAAAGTTGGTTTTATCCAAGACAAAATGGGGCATCAAGGTTATAATTTTGATTACGACAAGAGTTCAATAAATGAAACATTTCTTCTGAGACTTAAATGAAGCAAAGAAGACACAAAGATTGCTCTTCCAAATCAGAAATACAGTTTGAAATGACATTTTGACCAAGTGAAGAAAGACCGAGTTCACCACTTTGAAATCAAATAAAAATGAACTTAATATTCATGCATCATATTTAGGCATTTGCAAAAATAGGTGCATTTCCATTCATTTTATCCATGTTAAATGTTGACATGAATTTCAAAGATTTTAGCAAAGATTCAAATCCATCACAATGGATCAACATTTCCAGAGAAAGTTCATAATGAGAAGAACTCATCTGAAGAAGGAAGAAGAAGTTCATAATGAGAAGAGCTTGTTCAACCTTTTGCTCAAATCCATCACTTGATGGATCAACTTTTCCAGAGAAAGTTCATAATAAGAAGAACTCATCTGAAGAAGGAACAAGAAGTTCATAATGAGAAGAATTTGTTCAACCTTTTGTTTGAATTCATCATTTGATGGATCAGCATTGCCAGGTAGAGTTCATAATGAGAAGAACTCATCTGAAGAAGGAAGAAGAAATTCATAATGAGAAGAATTTGTTTAACCTTTTGCTCAAATTCATCACTCGATGGATTAACTTTTCCAGATAAAGTTCATAATGAGAAGAACTTATCTGAAGAAGAAAAAGAAGTTCATAATAAGAAGAACTTGTTCAACCTTTTGCTTAACTCTATCATAGAAGGATATAGATCAGCATCAACATTTCCAGATAAAGTTCATAATGAGAAGAACTTATCTGAAGAGGAAGAAGAAGTTCATAATGAGAAGAACTTGTTCGACTTTAGCTTGATTCATCACCTATGGAGTTGAATGAAAGAAGAACCTCACTTGAGGATCAACATTTTCAGACGAAGTTCATAATGAGAAGAACTCGTCTGAAAAGGAAGAAGAAGTTCATAATGATAATAACTTATTCAACCTTGCCTTAATTCATCACATATGAAGTTGAATCAACACCTCTTTTGAGGATCATCATTTCCAGAAGGAATTCATAATGAGAAGAACTCACCTGAAGAAGAAAAAGAAGTTCATAATAAGAAGAACTTGTTCAACCTCTTGTTAGATTTTATCACAGAAAAAGATAGATCATCATTCTAGTGGAAAAGTTCATAATAAGAAGAACTCGTCTGAAGTGAGCGAAAAAATCATAATGAGAAGAACTTATAGCTCAGAAGTTTGAACAATTCAAGCTAAAAATGGTGCTTTATGTCTTTTCTCCATTCTTGTTCCACAACAACGAGCAAAGAGGGGCAGCTGTAATCACCATTTTCACCTTGATAGCAGCCCTTCCACGTTGCAGCTCCACCTGACGGTTCCAGCAGCTTTCAAAGAAACACCAGCTGTCCCTCCACAACAACAGTGTTCCATTAGTTTCCATCACCTCACCAGTTGTCCCTCCACACCGATAGTAACTCGTGGTTGCCCTTTTGTCAATGACATTACGCCAACAACAACCACCCAGCTAGTTTCCTCTCCCGCCAGCAATGCAAGGTTCTAGATCAAATCATCACAAAAAAATCAGATTTTTATGTAATAAGGGTTAATCTATAAAACCCAAGAGTATTGTAATCTTTTGAGAGGACCCCGATCCAAAATAGAACAAAAAAAATTGTAACAGGATTTTTTTCTCTAATTCTTCAAAGCAGCAATACAACAGCAGAAATTACATTTCTAAGGTTTCCTCTTTGAATCTGTTATTATTATTATTATTATTATTATTATTATTATTATTATTATTTTATTTTTCAAACTAGAGTAGCAGTATTAAAAAAAGACGAACAGGGGATTCGAAATAATAAAAAAAATAAGAAAAATGAAGAGTAGTGAGAGTTTACCTTTAATGGTTACCTCGCCGGAGCCTCGGATCAATGGATGGTATAATTTGGGGTTGAGTGGCCGAAAGATAGTAGTATAGTTTGGGATTCTTTTTTTATTTTATTTTTTTTGATTTAAAAGAGAGATAGGGGTTGGGTTGTCGTTTGGTTTCCGTTGAATGGAAAGAATATAGCCGGTCAAAGCGTAACGACCACCAAATCGGTGGCCAGCATTGGTGAGCTCTTTCTGTTTAAGTTATGCCAAAATGAGGATGAGAAAAGAGAGAAGAAGAAAGGGCTGGAAAGATAGTGTGAACACGGGGAAGAGGGTATTGTTTTAGGAATATATTAAAGTTTGGGTTATATCCCCTCAAGCCCCTCTAGTTTAGTTGCATATTTTCATTTAGATGATTAATTTTGGGGTAATCACCCTTTTAGTCCTTCTTTATCACGTTTTGCATATACATGTATGTGTTATTATAAATATATATATATACGTATTATATAAGTGTTTATAACACTTTTATAAATATTGTGCAATCTATATAATATAAATAGTGTTATATATATAGGAATATTAAATATATGTTATACGTATGTTAATATACATATGTACATGCTTAAATATGTTGGATTTTCTTTTATTTTTCTATGAATTTATATATTAGAAAGTTTACATTTTATTTTAAATGATATGCCTTTAATTTGATTTTTCATTTTATTTTATTTGTCTATAGTAAATACTTTCCCATATATATATATATATATATATATATAATTTAATATAAATTATTTTAATCATGTTTTAATATTTATTTATTTTTTAATATTAAGAAAATGACAGTCTTAATGCAACTAGATGTTCTATTCTGATGTTTTAAAAATAAATAAATATCTTATTTATAAAAATATAAAAATTAATATATTTTCTTAAAAATTACTAATAAATTTGAAATAATAGGATTATAAATTAAATATATTGTTGAATTCTTAAATTTCCAATAATAGAGACAACTTATAATTAATAAGTACCAATTTTTGGGCGCAATAGAGTGCTAATCCTTCCCTAAACGTAACCGACCACGAACCCTTTTTATTATTAAAAAGAATGAATTTTTGGTTATACGCAAGATCAGTTTATCTTTTAAATTATGTTTTCTTAAAAACTATTTTAAAAGATTGTTTTTTAGTATTTGACCTACCTAACCCAAAAAGGTCAATGGCTACTCCCAAAATATTTTTTAAATCAAAATCATTTATTTATTCATTTTATTTTTCCTGTCAAGAAAAAAATTCGTGCCCGGACGAAAACCGGTTACGACAACAAGTTCACAAACATCACGAAATGCGACAAACCGACCATGGAGAAGCTTCTCAACACGAGTGTCATGGCTAACGTTAACCTCATAAGTCATACCAAAGCATATTAATGACAGAAAGTCCCTACAACAGTTCTGCAAAGACACTGTCATCACAATTTGGCATTACCATGGAGGGTTTCATGTAGGAAAAGTGGTGAACCATGGCCACAAAGTTCTCGGAACCAGAAGACTCTGAATCGTCGACGGGTCCACATTTAGTGAATCCCCTGGGACTAACCCTCAGGGAACTGTCTTGATGATGGGCAGGTAAGCTTTAAAGGCACATTTAATCGGTACTACAAAGCATTTAACTATGTACATAAGTGGTAGGGAAAGGCTACACTTATTTTCTTTCGGATTTTTGCAGGTACATGGGGATCAAGATTTTAAGACGACGGCTCGGAAAGGCTGCTGACGTGTAAGAGACTGACCACTGGTCACCGGCGTTCGTTTTGTGGTATCAGTAGCACTAGGAAATGAATGTGATATTCATATGTAGAGAATTGGCTTTAGCTTTGCCTTTTGAATTGTGCTGTTTATTTATATATGATGAACTGAAGAAAATGGAAACAGTTTGGGATCTTAGGCTTAGCTATGCGCTTGTTTTGATGTTTTTAGTGCCATATAATAAAAGATTAAGGCTCCATGCTTTGTTTCTTACTGGTTTTCCCTTCTAGTTTAATGAGACCCTGGCCAAATTTTAACTGAAAATCCATGCTCACTTTGGCTGCCTCTTGATAATCTTCTTATTTTCTGCCAGAAATGCCTTGTAAAGGATCCCGGTTCCGGTTCCTCGATGACTTGTCCAATACTTAAGTGATTCGATGCAGACACCGATATCTGAAATGACTCTGAGGTTTGTGCAAGCTCACTTGAATGTCCACTAGTCTCATCAAATTCATTGCATATTAGCCTTAATGCTTGAACAATTTCGCCCATAAAAGGACGATTAGATGCTTCGGGCTGCACGCACATGGACGCTATTGTAGCTACCTTGGAAATGCTATCGAATGAGATATCGGATTTTATGGATGGATCAATGACTGTTTCTAAACCTTCCTTGGCCGTAAGGAGCGGGCGAGCCCATGCAGCGAGATTTTCTTGGCCTGGTGGCTGCAATAAGTCCACAGGTTTCCTCCCTGTTAAGAGCTCGAGTAGGACCACACCGTAACTGTAAACGTCGCTTTTGACACGAAGGTGACCGGTCATTGCATACTCGGGAGCCAAGTAACTGAAAAAAATGAGATAAATTTCAAATAAACTTTGTCGGAAAAGATCGAAATGACAGTGTTTTAGTGCCCTGTTGTTCATACCCGAATGTTCCCATTACATGTGTAGGAACATATTTGTTCCCTTCATCCAATTCTGTTCTAGCCAATCCGAAATCCGAAACTTTAGGAGTGAAATCATGTTCGAGCAAGATGTTGCTGGACTTGAAGTCTCTGTGTATGACCCTGGGACTGGAGTCTTCGTGTAAATACGCTAAGCCTCGAGCTGCACCGATGGCAATCTTCATTCGAGCACCCCAGTCGAGTGAACCGGTTTCGTTGTCGACTCCTGAGAGAATTCGGACAGAGAACAAAACAAATCACTAAGCTGCAATGTAAGGTAGTTTGCAGTTATGCTGAAGATGTATGTTCACCATGTAAATGGAACTCAAGGCTTCCATTTGGTACAAGTTCGTAGACTAGACAACGTATGTTTCCCTCGGTGCAAATACCGACCATTTTAACCAGATTCCGATGATGCAGGCGGCTAAGCATCTCGACTTCGGCCAAGAACTCTTGTTCACCATGCTGATCCACCCTCTTCGGTACTTTGACAGCCACTGCAACTCCATTATCTAACATACCTCTGTAGACAATGCCACAACCTCCTTCACCGATCACCCGTGCATCGTCGAACCGATTGGTGGCTCTTTCTATATCACTTAAAGTGAAGTTCTTTGCCAGTCCTGTATATGTCATCCCACTAACACTAACTGCCATCGATGCAGCACCGACTGAAGTACCTGGTGGTTTTGCAGGAGAAAATGTTATAGCTTGTGGCATATGTTCCGGTCCTTCCACACAAGCTCCATATTTCGAAACAATAAGCCAAATGATACCGGAGGAGCATACAACAAATGCTGAAAAAGATGATACAATGATCGCAGCAATCATGCCTCGTGTAACGCCTACTCTCGTCTTCTCAGACGCATAAACGCCCAATGGTTTCGCTGCTTGCCCGTGGTTGTTACTGCCGGAGTATGGCCCGTCGCCTATACTCGAAACACTCGAACTCACTGCAGGCGGAGAAGGTGGAAGACCTACTATTACGAAGATCGAAAATCATACTATCATACAATAAAGTTATCTAGACCGATCAATTATCAGATTGAACATCATACTGTATATTACCTGGATAGCGAACATACACAACTTCATAGGGACCGAAACGAGAAGCCTCGACAAAGACCCGTCTGTTCCAAAATTTCTTATAGATTGCGAATGCGGTTGCATTGTTGAATCTTACTTCCCAAGGTACCAACTCGATGAGGACTGTGCTTTTATCGAGCTCCTGACTAGCTGCATTTGCTCCGGTGATCCGAACTTGGCGCTGGTTTAGTCCTACACTAGCAGCAATTTCCTGAGCCAATTCCGAAACCAAAGGAAAGATAGTGTATATCGCGACACCGAGCCGGAGCTTAACTTGAATCGGCCAGACGCAGCCACAAGGCGATCCGAGCGGCGTATACGTCAGGGGCTCGCTGCATGTCATGTACGTACAATCTGCAAGCAGTATCAAATGTGAATCTTTCCTTTCTCATATTGGTCCATGAAATCTACAAGAGACACTGGAAAAATTACCAGATCCTTGGAATGCATCTTTCAAGTTCAAGTTTCATGAACACCTAAATTGAGATTGTCAAAACAAACGCTTGGATCAAAAACAAAATTACCTGATGATCCATCAATTTTCATTGCACTGGTAAGTAACCAAATGTTCACCAGCAGGAGAATGAATTGAAACCCCATTTTCTTAACTCCGAAAGAAACTGGAAATTCTAATGAAAAAGCAGCTTTTAGTCATTGCTAAAACTATTATTATCCAGAACAGGAGAAGATACAAAGGAAAAAAAGATGAAAATTTTAGCTGATCAAAAGCAAAAGAAAATACTAAAAAAAGGCAGAACAATGAACTCAAAGGAGGTTAATGTATGTATGTATGACACTCTTGAGAGGGAGGGTTGGTGGGATTGAGAGAGATCATTGTTGAATTGTTGTTGGGGTATATACCATTTGTTGATCGAATTTATTGTGAATGTGATATCAAACTTTGAATTACTAAACGTGCATTGCATGCTTGTATTCTTTTTCATCCCAGCAATTTTGATTGTTTATATATGAATTTCTGTGAGAGTACAGGACCCGAATTTCGTTTAATTCGACTCGAATAATTTGTGGTATAATTTTATTCAATTAAAATTATTGTATCCATACATTTATATAAATATAACTACAATTCTAGAATTTGATTTTCTTTTTCCTGTTAATAGTTCTTGACTCACATTTATGTATCATTTTATAATTTCAAAAAATTTTTATTCTGGATTTATTTAAGCACAAGCTTCACTATATCATTAGAGTTAATTACACACATGTTCTCAAACTATGACCCTTAATATAAATTAGTCCTTAAACTTTTAAACATTCTAATTTCATCCTAAAACTATGGCTCTCATTCTAAATTAATCCTTAAACTTTTGAACATTCCAATTTCATCCCCAAACTATCAATATCATTCAAAATTGGTCCCTAAACTTTTGCATCTTCCAATTTATCCCCAAATTCATCCAAATATGCAATCCATTTTAATCATAGTTTAACCTAAATTTTATTTTTTAAAATATATAATAATATAACTTGGTCTAACGATTTTATTAATAAGAGATGTGATTAGTATATACGTATAATTTAGGATCAAATTGAAATGTAAAAAGTTTGAGGCCTAATTTAAAATGAAGATCATAGTTTGGGGATGAAAATGGAATGTTAGAAGTTTGAGGACTAATTAGAATGTTAGTCATAATTTAGAGATGAAATTGAAATGTTTAAAGTTTAAGGATTAATTTAAAATGAGGGTCATATATTGGGGATATATGATGCAATAAACTCATATCATTATTATGATCAATATGTCATTGGTTTTTATACTATGTGTAAATTATAGATTTAGTCCCTATATTTTTTTTAATTTTAAAATTTTAATATTCACTCAAACGATACAAGAAAAATATGACTACATTATAAGGATAAATTAAGGTACACAACTGTTGATTGTCAACCATTGATAATCATTATTCTTCTTTTACTTTATTATAGCGTATCTTTATTTTTTTATTTTTTATTTTTAATAATTTTATGGGTAAAGTATAGTAATGGTCACTGAACTTTTCTAAAGCTTTCATTTAGGTCCCCCAACTTTTAAAACTTACAATATAATCCCCCAACATTTAGTTCGTTTGCAACATGGTCCCTCAACATTTAGTCGGTTTGCAATATGGTCCCCGACGTAACTGTTGGGGGACCATATTGCAAACGGACTAAATATTGGGGGACTGTATTGCAAGTTTTAAAAGTTGGGGACTTAAATGAAAGTTTTAGAAAAGTTCAGTGACCATTACTATACTTTACCCTAATAATAATAATTAGCTATTTATGCCCGACCATAATTACCAAAATTATGGTTTATCAGATACATATATATGACATGTAACGTGGAATCAAACTCTATCAAGCTGGAAACGTTGTCGGACGTTTGAAATATAGCTCGAGGCCTTCACATCCATGTTTTCGTTGCCGTGACGCCAATATTCAATTGCAGACGCATACGACACCTTTTGCATTAATGATGCAACATTCGCAATATTCTTCTGTTCATGGGAAGTGCTAGTCGGCTGCTTCGAGCTACCATAAGAATAGGTCGACACCCTCGGAATCAACGAATAGCTCGGTGTCGATTTCGTCGAGCAGGGAACCACCTTGCTGCTGCTTCCGCTGATGGGCCTTGGCTTGGTAAATCGAGAGAAAGACTTGGTTAACCTGCCTCTGAAGAATCCCTTCTTTTGAGTTGCTTCCATTTGAGTTGAATCCAGAGAAGGAAGAATGTGTAAACTCTTTGAGTGGACGATGAAGGTTAGAAGAAAAGAAGGTTTTGTTGAGCAAAATCTCATGTCTTTATATAGAAAGAGCATTAGCTGTAGTGCATTCTATTGTAGATAATACAATGTATTATTCCAAATGGCAAATTAATCACTGCCAAACACCTAATTAATGCAACAAATTCCCTACATAATCTTGTTACAGATATAATGTATATATGGATGGTACCTTTTTCTTTTCCTGGATGGTGATATAATTTACATTTTTTTGTGGATTATAGGAATAAAGATTGCCCCATGCATGTTTGGCATCTTATAGGTTCATACATAGGATAGATTATCACAGACACATGATGAATAAAGTTGCTAAAGAATATGCCAATATATCTTCAATTTTGTCTTGTTATGTGCTGTCATGTTGTTTTGGTAACAGTATTAGATTCTAACTCGGTTCTTATCTGCTTTCGATGGAAATACGTGACATGTAGAGGAGAAGGATATGATCTCATAAAATTTTGGGTAAAGTATAGTAATGGTCACTGAACTTTTCTAAAGCTTTCATTTAGGTCCCCCAGCTTTTAAAACTTGCAATACTGTCCCCCAATATTTAGTCCGTTTGCAATATGGTCCCCCAACAGTTACGTCAGGGACCATATTGCAAACGGACTAAATGTTGAGGGACAATATTGCAAACGGACTAAATTTTGAGGGATTATATTGCAAGTTTTAAAAGTTAGGGGACCTAAATGAAAGCTTTAGAAAAGTTTAGTGACCATTACTATACTTTACCCTAATTTTATTTTTATGGTATGACTTTTTTTGCCTTTATGACACGTTTTCGATCGTTATTTTCGTTTATTCTTTTTTAGAGTTAGATTTGATATCGTCGTGACTTTTTGGTCCCTCAAATTAGATTTGAGTACGTGATTTGCGTCCGTATATAATATTTTTCATGACGCTCAATTCTGATTTACGATTTTTCGATGACATTGCAATAGATTCATCCCCTTTTATGGTTCACTTGCTTATATGATTAGATGTGTTCATGTCTACCTTTTATTCGAGTTTTTTGATTATGATTTTTAACATTTTCATTGTATGATCCTTGCAATCTTAAGTGACTAATTTTCATGTGTTTAAAAAATATTTTTATTATACATTTAATTTACTATTATGATTGTAAACATTTATTATAATTTTAATATTTTTATTTTTATTAAAATTAACTACTTCTGTATAAAAAAAATGGATAAACTATACATGTGACCATTCAACTATGATAAAAAAATAACGGTTAACGGAACAGGTGACATGATAGTTAAAATATTTTTAGTATAATTACACAATTGGCCCATGTTACTTATATATTCTTTCAACTCATTTTAATAAATTATGATTGTAAACATTTATTATAATTTAAATATTTTTTATTTTTATTAAAATTAACTACTTCTATAAAAAGATGGATAAACTATACATGTGACCATTCAACTATGATAAAAAAATAACGGTTAACGGAACAGGTGATATGATAGTTAAAATATTTTTAGTATAATTACACAATTGGCCCATGTTACTTATATATTCTTTCAATTTGGTTCTCATTTTAATAAATTAAAATAATAACACATGTCATCATTCGATTAGATGACTAAATTTATTTTTAATTTAATAGAAATTAAGTCAACACATTAGGTGGGCAAGTGAGATTTGAACCAATGACCCCTTGGGAAAAGAAGAAAGCACCAAACTATTAGCCCATGGCATCCATTTAGTTTATCTATACAACAAGTAATATATATTGTATTTTAGTAAATTTGTCTTTAGACAACAAACAATATAATTAATAAATAAAAATTAAGAATATTTTTTACATTACCAAAAATATGAATATAAAACATATTAAAATAAAAATACTTTTTGTTAATGAAAAATATTTATATTTTTTAATGTGAAAAATATTCATATTTTTAATATGATTAAATAAAAATATTAATATGTTTTATATATAATTATTAATAATATATAACTAAATTTTATTTTAATATTTTTTATATTTTTTATTAATGTAAAAATATTTTTAATTTTTGTTTATTAGTTATATTATTTGTTGTTTAAAGAAAAAATTACTAAGATAAAAGATATATATTATTTGTTGTACAAAGTAATCAATTGGATGTCTTGTCTCAATGGTTTAGTGATTTCTTCTTTATTTAAGAGGTTTATGGTTTGAATTCCACTTTGCCCACCTTATATATTGATTTTTTTCTTTTAATCAGAGAGTGATATGTGTTATTATTTTAATTTATTAAAATGAGGACTAAATTGAAAGAATATATAAGTAACATGAATCAATTGTATAATTATACTAAAAATGTTTTAACTGCCATGTTACCTGTTTCATTAACCGTTAACGACAGATGGCTTGATTGAAGCATTTAGTTGGATGGTTTGTTTGATCAAATTAAAACATAAGTAGTCAAAATAATTTTTGACCATAGTTAAGTTGTCATCCATATAATTTACAAAAAAAAATATCTATAACTTACGTATCATATAAGAATAAATAAAAAAATGACCTAATAAATTTAGCGACTACCGTTCATGTAATATCCGTAATTAAAATTTTAAAAATACAAAGACTAAAAATTTAAATTAAAGTAAATAGATTAAATTCGTAATTTATACACGATATATAAATTAATACTAATAGAATTTGACATTAGAGGTTGAAGTTGAAAACAATTAGTGACATATGGTTTTCAATTTAGATTAACTGTAGCTGAAGTTTTCATTCATGGTCGGTTTTGATTGCTTCACTGGAAATGAAAAAAAATGGAAATTTCATAAAGGGTGTTTGAAAACAAAACATTT